ACAAAGTTAAAGAAAGATACAATTGTTTTTTTTTACAAGGATAACAACAAATAAAATTCAGCATTGACAAACGAAATCACTTTTCACTTCATCTCTGGTGGCCCTCCAGCTGGTGGAGGCCCCTGGGCTGCAGCCACTAAAGCCCCCCACGCCTTAATCCGGCCCTGCCACCACCGTGAACCACGCTCTGGTGGTGCGGCTCGCGTTAGAACAGCGCCGGCACACGCGGCGCTGTCCGTGGCGAGACGTCGAACCCCGGGAGGCGATCTCTTGGTCCGCCAGGTCCCGGAGTAGCCGAGCGCCTTCACCAAACCTTCACCGACCCGCGCGGACCGGCGTGGTGAAGTGTGGCGAGGGCGTTTTCCCTGCACAGTGTGGGGGGCGGGGGGGGTGGGGGATGTCCTCGTCGCACACCGACCGACTTGCCGTGGCAGACGAATGCTGCCCCCGTAAGTGGGCCGGTGACACGCACGTGATTTCAGCGCAGTCCGTTCACCGAGCACCCCCACCCCTCCCCCAAGGTGATGAACTGGAGGTGTGCCATGCTACACCCCATAATCATCAGCACGATATATTGGAAACAAACAAAAAAAATCAGATATGCGCGTGCAAAGAATGCGGTGCGATTGAAACACCTTGAGGCAGGCATGGGCCTTTACAGTTCATTGCCTATCATTTCACACCGCCGACCCATCGCTCGCATTCATTCCTGGGGCCCCCGAGCTTAGCTACTGGCTCACTGTCCACTTGCGATGGGAGGGAACGTGCTCAGCCAAATGTCGCCCTCTGCCCGTTTCTCTCCACTCGCATTGCCCATTGCTTTTGCTGCATTCCCTATTTGGTGGCATTCTCCGGACATGATCAACGCTGCCTTCATCAATTATTATATCTCCAGGTTCTTTGCCAATGTCTTCATCTATTATTCTACTCCCGAGTGATTGAAATTAAACAGGAATGTGGAATATCCATTACGGCGCCGCCATGGCAGGACGAAGGCATTAGACAAAGCTCATTTGAGCAGAGAGATGTGAGCGATTCACTCCTTGCAGAATCCTTACAGGGCAGAGTGAAAGATAGTGAGCGTTGATGTCTCTCCTTTTCAACTCTGAAGTGGGGGTGGCTACCTCGCTGGGAATTTGGCATCTGTGTGCCGCTGGCAGGAAATGTATTTGTGCCGAGATCTGGCGACGGCATTTGCTCTAAATATCATTGCAGTAAAACTGCACTGCATTGATGGACCCAGGCTGACTGAGAAATATTTGTCTGGATTTAGCCTACAGCCTACAGTGGAAAGGTGTTGCAACCATACCCATCCACTCACCCACTCACCCACTCGCTCACTCACTCAATCACCCACTCACTCTGACACCCACTCACCCAACCACTCACCCACTCACCCACCCACTCACCCACCCACTCACCCACCCACTCACTTACCCACCCGCCCATCCACCCACTCACCCACCCACTCACCCACCCACTCACCCACCCACTCACTCACTCACCCACCCACCCACCCACTCACCCACCCACCCACCCACTCACTCACCCACCCACCCACCCACACACCCACCCACTCACCCACCTACTCACCCACTCACTCACCCATCCACTCATTCACCCACCCACTCACTCACTCACCCACCCACCCACTCATCCACCCACTCACCCACCCACTCACCCACTTACTCACTAAGGTTTGCCACCAGTCCGGAAATCAGCATCTCTGTGTTCAGCTTGTGGGAAATGATTCGTAACCGCCGGAGAGATCCGGTGCCGTTTACTGCGTTGAACTAAATTTCGGTGAGCCGCGTGGCTTTCATAAACCTGGCCCGACTCGAGAAGTGCCCCCGGGTTAGGTCTCCTGGTGGGGGGGGGGGAAACGTGATAATCCTAATGAGGAGAGCTGGGTCCGTCTGTGACAATCCTGACGAGGAGAGCTGGGAGCGCCTGTGACAATCCTGACGAGGAGAGCTGGGACCGTCTGTGACAATCCTGACGAGGAGAGCTGGGGCCAACTGTGACAATCCTAACGAGGAGAGCTGGGACCGTCTGTGACAATCCTGACGAGGAGAGCTGGGACCGTCTGTGACAATCCTGACGAGGAGAGCTGGGACCGTCTGTGACAATCCTGACGAGGAGAGCTGGGACCGTCTGTGACAATCCTAACGAGGAGAGCTGGGACCGTCTGTGACAATCCTGACGAGGAGAGCTGGGACCGTCTGTGACAATCCTGACGAGGAGAGCTGGGACCGTCTGTGACAATCCTGACGAGGAGAGCTGGGAGCGCCTGTGACAATCCTAACGAGGAGAGTTGGGACCGTCTGTGACAATCCTGACGAGGAGAGCTGGGACCGTCTGTGACAATCTTAATGAGGAGAGCTGGGACCGTCTGTGACAATCCTGACGAGGAGAGCTGGGACCGTCTGTGACAATCCTGACGAGGAGAGCTGCGACCGCCTGTGACAATCCTAACGAGGAGAGCTGGGACCGTCTGTGACAATCCTGACGAGGAGAGCTGGGACCGTCTGTGACAATCTTAATGAGGAGAGCTGGGACCGTCTGTGACAATCCTGACGAGGAGAGCTGGGACCGTCTGTGACAATCCTGACGAGGAGAGCTGGGACCGTCTGTGACAATCCTGACGAGGAGAGCTGCGACCGCCTGTGACAATCTTAATGAGGAGAGCTGGGACCGTCTGTGACAATCCTGACGAGGAGAGCTGGGACCGTCTGTGACAATCTTAATGAGGAGAGCTGGGACCGTCTGTGACAATCCTGACGAGGAGAGCTGGGACCGTCTGTGACAATCCTGACGAGGAGAGCTGGGACCGTCTGTGACAATCTTAATGAGGAGAGCTGGGACCGCCTGCCACGGGGCAAAGTGGCTCATCCCGGGAAAGAGGCCACACTGGCCTCACAAACTAATTATTTTCAACGCCACGGGGGCCAAAGCGGCCGCCTGTCAGATCCGACCCTCTGTGGGCCGGTGCGGCTCACTAAAAAGCGGCGAAATAGGCTCTGCTGCTCAGGGGCTCTGTGACAAATCGGGCAATAAATAAATGTAAGTGCCCGTTATTAAATGACTTCTTTTTTTTTGCAGATGTTGCCGCGAACAGCGCTGTCAGACACAGAGATGCAGAGATGCCCTTTTATGATCCACTGTGTTTATCGGATGATTCTTTTCTGGGGGAGAGGGGGTTCGGGACAGGGGGAGGGGGGATGTAACCCCCCCGCCCGCCGCCCATTGCCGGCCCCCCTTTAGTAACTGCGCAGAGATGTGCGCTCGCAGCCACTCGCGTGTCAGGGTTCAAGTTTGCAGCGAAGATTGATAAGTAGAAACAGCGGTGGGCATTGAATCTTCGTTATTTATGCCTCCATTAACGCGTGGGGACATTACCGTACGTCAAACCCATTGAGTTTTAGCCAATTTCCAATTTATAATTATTAATGACCCATGCTGCCACGCATTGCACTGTAATGGAGAAAACCTTGAAACAAAGTAAAAAAATAAAAAAAATACAAATGTCTCTTTTGTGTGCAACCCACCATTTTGTTTTTTATCCTTTCTGTTCCGTCAATACGTATATATCTTTCTTTAAGCGGAATTCAGCTTCAAACATTTCGAACGCGTGAGCACATTCCTGACACCACGGTTGTGTCCTCCGCTTCACCTGTGAATGGGTCAAGCCAACCGGTCGACTGTGAATGGACCAGCCCAACCGGTCGCCTGTGAATGGACCAAGCAAACCGGTCGCCTGTGATTGGGTCAGGCCAACCGGTCACCTGTGAATGGACCAGGCCAACTGGTCACCTGTGAATGGACTAGGCCAACCGGTCACCTGTGAATGGGTCAGGCCAACCGGTCGCCTGTGAATGGGTCAGGCCAACTGGTCGCCTGTGAATGGACCCGGCCAACTGGTCACCTGTGAATGGACTAGGCCAACCGGTCACCTGTGAATGGGTCAGGCCAACCGGTCACCGGTGAATGGACCAGGCCAACCAGTCGCCTGTGAATGGACCAGGCCAATCGGTCGCTTGTGAATGGACCAGGCAAACCGGTCGCCTGTGAATGGACCAGGCCAACCGGTCGCCTGTGAATGGACCAGGCCAACCGGTCGCTTGTGAATGGACCAGGCAAACCGGTCGCCTGTGAATGGACCAGGCCAACCGGTCGCCTCTGAATGGACCAGGCCAACCGGTCGCTTGTGAATGGACCAGGCAAACCGGTCGCCTGTGCATGGACCAGGCAAACCAGTCACCTGGACATGGGCCAGGCCAACCGGTCACCTGTGAATGGCTCCGCAAACAAGGAGAGTGATAGTTGGTGCAAGGTAGTGGCGATGTATACTCACGTGCTGTACGCAACCGCTGGCAGTTGCGATCGTTGCTCGTCACCCGAGAGCTTTGCTCTTTATTAATTCATTTATTAATTCGTTGCGAGTGTTTACCCAGGAAAGAGTATGGCCGCCCTAAAGTCGATGCACGAACATGGGGAGCTGTAGCGAAATGGTTCTCGTTCACGGCCAACACCAGCGATGATTATCTGAACCGGTTCTGGGCTTCTCCTAGGTCGACTAGGCCTCATCTGAGTACCTGGTGCATTGTGTAAAAATCGCCACTGGAGAGACAAAGGCGGGCGAGCGTGTGCCGTGCCGGGCTTCATAGGTGCTCACTAATAGCAAATGCCCCAACAGTCTGTTAAGGCTATTAGATGGATCTTTGTCTTTGGACACTAATATACTAATATACTCTCGCACTCTACACAACAGGGGGAGACCATGGAATTTCCACGCAGAAAGGTGCCCCTGAATCGGGAATCAAACCCAAGGGACTTATTGCTGTTAGGCCACAAGCGTTACCACTGACGAGATGATATATATTTTGCAACACCTCAATATCATTCAGGAATTTACAATTCCCCCCCCCCCGCTTCCCTTACCCCCAAGAGCAATTATCTCGCACGCATTTCTCATAAATATAAAACAGGGGTCGTCTTACCTCGTTCACCATGAACATCAGCTGTGTCACCTCTACGCCGTTCTCGTGTTGGCAGAAGCAGTCCACTCCAGGCCTCCCGAACCTGTGCGGTCGTCGTCAAGGAGGAACTGAAGGAACGATGCCGTCGTGATCGAGACCGAGCACAGCGTTCAACAACAAGGCACGGGCGGCGACAGCGGGCCAGCGGCGGCGTAGCTGTGGAGTGTGCAGGCGAGTGCAATTGCACCAGGGTCCATAGGGGCCGTGGGGGCCCAGGGGGTGGGCGATGAAGAACGGTTGGCTACGTACGGTGCGAAAGAGTTTCAACATACGTACGTACATGCACTGCTCAGACTCAACACTGCTGACAGACTCAACACTGCCCAAAGACTCAACACTGCCCATAGACTCAACACTGCCCATAGACTCAACACTGCCCATAGACTCAACACTGCCCATAGACTCAACACTGCCCATAGACTCAACACTGCCCATAGACTCAACACTGCCCATAGACTCAACACTGCCCATAGACTCAACACTGCCCATAGACTCAACACTGCCCATAGACTCAACACTGCCCATAGACTCAACACTGCTCATAGACTCAACACTGCCCAGACTCAACACTGCCCATAGACTCAACACTGCCCATAGACTCAACACTGCCCAAAGACTCAACAAAGCCCAGACTCAACACTGCCCATAGACTCAACACTGCCCATAGACTCAACACTGCGCATAGACTCAACACTGCCCATAGACTCAACACTGCCCATAGACTCAACACTGCCCATAGACTCAACACTGCCCATAGACTCAACACTGCCCATAGACTCAACACTGCCCATAGACTCAACACTGCCCCATAGACTCAACACTGCCCAGACTCAACACTGCTCATAGACTCAACACTGCCCATAGACTCAACACTGCCCACAGACTCAACACTGCCCATTTACTCAACACTGTACCATAGACTCAACCTGCCCATAGACTCAACACTGCCCACAGACTCAACACTGCCCACAGACTCAACACTGCCCATAGACTCAACACTGCTCATAGACTCAACACTGCCCATAGACTCAACACTGCCCACAGACTCAACACTGCCCATTTACTCAACACTGCACTATAGACTCAACACTCAGCGCAGAGGCCGGATAACTGGAAGAGCGATCCATGCTCCGCTGATCCCAAAACAACCGAATCCCCGGATAACAGGCCCACGACGAACCGCAATTCTACTGCTGCACATTGTTCACGTGAAACGATAAATGGACGCCACGACACGCACAATTCACTGCGTGCACCTTCACGGTAGCCGTGTGCTTTAATCAGTGACTCGTTCACAATGCCTACGAACTTCGGGGGGGAGGTCCAATGATAGATGCAGAGGATAAAGCGGGACCATGTATTGATGCAAGCACAGCAGGCTTTGCCTCTCCAGTGCTGAGGATGCTTGACCCTTGGGTTCATTCCGCCTCTCATCCTGGGTATGGAGAAGTATCTCTGACCGAGGATTAAACTTGGATCGAATAAAGTAATGGGTTTCATTGGGCTCAGTACGATCACCAATGACTACACGAATACAAGAGCAGGACACCTGATTTGCGAGCAATGTGTTTCTGGCTTTGTACCTTTTCCCTTTAAAGGGACCTTTGTATACTTATTACCCCAAATCCGCCAAGACAGCTTATAATACATATCGTATTTTACGTGGTTGCGGCGAGAGAGGTCTATTTGGGGATCCGTAGGGAGTAGCCGTGAGGTATGGCCATTACAGAGTCGCCCCAAGGCATCGCTTCGTCTGTGCTCCGTGCTCTCTCTCTCTCGGTCGTCACGCTGGAAGCAAGAGGCAAGCTGTGAATGGATAATTAACCCCCCACCCCCTAAAAAAATATGCCTATAAAGAAACACCAAAACAGATTTGTTTTTCAGGCGAGCACCTTCTACGTCCTCATCAGATTAAGCCAAGCTGTGCCGAGCGTCAAGAGAGGTTTTGCTTTAGGAGCCGCGAGCTGCAGCGTCCAAACGCTTCGCCGTGCTTCTTGGCCTGCCCAGGTGTTGCGATCTTGCACCTTCACCGACGCAACACTGCGCAGCGTGGTGAAGTATGGTCAATTAACCACCTCCACCACCACCCCGGCTCCAACAAGACCTGCACAGCCGTTGGGGATGCTGTCCCTACGCGCGTGGCGTCCGGGCGCTCCGGTTTCCCCCCGCGTGTGAACACTCAGTAGTTTAATCTTAATTTGAGTACTCAGTAGTTTATATTTTTTTTTATTTAACCAGGTAAGGCCCACTCAGCTACACAGCTCCTGTTCAGAAGCTACCTGGCCATCACAAATGATAGCTCAGCAAAGTGGTTATCGCGTGGAGATTTACACCAGCAAAATGCTCTAAAGCGCGTGATGTTGTTGCTAAATGTGGAGGGAAAAACTAGAGGACCCGAGGAAAATCCAAGCGACCACGGGAGGAGAGACACCCAAACTCCAAATGTACAGCAGCAGGCGTCAGTGTCGGGATCGAACCCACGAGCTCCTGTATACCGGGCGAGGGAGTTAACATCTCCTAGCCACCGCGGCACCCAATTGGCCCGTAACACCTGAGCAAATAGAAGACCGCAGAGCTTGGGCAATTGTTGGTTAGCGCCGGCTCGTCGCCACGTGGCTGTTGCTGCTGCCTTGTTACCCGCTCCTCTGTGGTTCCTCCTCCTGGACTCCTCACTCTCTCTCTCTCGGAGAGTGAAAAGCGTAATGCTGTGTGGCGACAGCGGAGCACTGTCACAAGTTGACGTTATTTTTGTAATAATAATAAAAATAGTAAACCAAATAAAATCCATTATCTGAAGCGTGCCAGAGGGTCTGCGCGACCCCAAGACGCAAATCAATTTGGGAATAACCGTGCGGAGCTTTTGAAAAAGGAAAAACAAATCTACCCATCGTAAAATTGTGCTCATCGCCTCTCCATTACTCGCTGCCCCATTAACGACGTCTCATCTAAATCCTAACACCCCCACCACCCCACCCTCCCACAGGCACAAAAAAAATAAACCAGATCACCTCCGAATAAGAATAACTGCAGCGTCTATTGCAGCCTATAAAGGAGATGAATGATTTCATCAGCGATGAAAAACACAAGCAATGCTTGTCAACCACCCACCCCCGCCCCAGGGGTGTGTTGGGTTATATTCTGCGGCATTGTATCATTTTCATGGTTGTTTTTGCACGCGCGTGTGTCTATCCGGCTTATTTATATTTCGAAATTATATATGTGTGTGTGTGTGCGCACGACGATAATTATAAGAATGCAAACACGCGTGGATTTTTCCCTCTTGACGGCAAAGCTCCCGGGCCCCGTGGCAATCGGGTGCAGGGTCGTTCCTTCTCGAGCCGCGCACTTCGCTCTCGCGAGCGTCGGCGCGCTCCAATTTAAAGAGACCCCCCCCCCCCCGTACCACCATCATCATCACCACCATCATCACCGTCGTCGTTCCTCGGCAACGCAATCCCACAGTTCTCCGTGCGCACTCCGCGCGCGTTCAGCACAATGCGTAAATGTCTAATTTATAGTCTTGCACATGAGACACTCTCCCGCGAGGCTAATTGCCAAGCTGGTGTGAAAAAATAAGAAGAGGTTTTACCCTTTCTGGCAATAAAACAAGCGGGCGTCAAGACGTTCGAACACCAGATAGATACCTTCTTGCAAGGAATCAAGGCTCCATTAACCACACGTGCTGTTGGTGAAGATGCAAACAAACATGCTCTGAAATTAGAAGCATTGTCTTTGAAACTGACTGGCCTTCACCAGAGACATCATCATGGTCCTAGTCTCACCAGTGGCAGACCGGAGAACGCCAAAAGGTATGGGATAAAAAGGTCTCATGATGCAAAGCTGTTGTTGCTGTTGTTGTTTTATGGAGGCATGTACCTTGAACAGGAATGTTTAACTCACGTATTTTTTATTTTTACAATGATTCGAAATTTACATTTAAACAGCGCTCAAACCCACCTTTTACTTTAAAGTCTGGTATTGGTTTTTGTTTCGTCGTTTCCACCGCCCGTTAAACCTTCCCGCTGTGAGAATCAAGAGAGAGAAGGAAAACGAGACAGGACCGTGGTGGCTTCTCCTGGGGATATTGAATAAGGCCACCGCCACTCCCTGCACCCCAGGGCTAACGGGCACGAGCTTGAAGATTCAACACCAAATGAAGAACAATCATGCACACACACACGCACAACAACAGCCGCCATTCGCTACTAAGTGGCGGTGACGTCACCACGACGCTTGTGCCAGGCCATGTGCACCTTGAGGCCACGTGAAGTGTCGAACGCCCGCGGGCAGGAGGTCACGGGGCAGACCCAGGTGCCACGGGTCGACTGACTGAGATGACTGCTGGTGCACCACCTGTGCCTCCTACTGTGCCAACCTGCTGTGCTTTAGCCACCCGGCGCTCCGCTCGTTGTTGTGAGCGTCGCTCCTCCGCCCTCCGTTGTTGTTGGAGGGCGACTGCCTCCAAATGCCCAATAGCGTCCTTCACGAGCCTCCTCCACAGAGGCCGATCTTGACACCGCTGGTACCAGTCATCGGCAAGTCCACTCAGCTCCACGTCCTCCTGTACCACATCACTCCATCTCTTCTCTAGCCCGTGCCGCGCCCGTTAAGCCCCCTCGATCAGGCCGAACAAAAGCTGTTTCGGCAATGCGGTGGCTGGGCATGCGGGCTACATGACCCAGCCAACGCAGCCTTGCCTGCCGATGGAGCTCACCGATGGGACCTTGCACAGATCTTTCAAGGATTTGTGAGCTCCTCACACAATCCAGCCTGGTTAATCCCAGGATGGTTCGTAGGCAGGCCAGCCTAAATGTTTCCAACCGGCGAAGATGCTCCATTAAGGGGGTCCACGTTTCGCAAGCGTAGAGAAGGGAGGGAATGACCGCGGCCGAGAAGACCTGAAGCTTAGTGCGGAGCGACAGACCAGGTAGCTTCCACACAGCGTTACGGAACCGATGAAAAGATATTGCCGCTCGACTGATTCGGAGTGAGACCTCTGCTGTTAAACTGGAGCCGGTCATAAGCACACTTCCCAGGTATGGG